ATGGGGTGGTTGTGGTGATGGTAAACCTGGAGAGAATAGAAAGTGCAAGACTAGGGAAGTAGGGAGCTAAGGAGAACTTTCAGGTCACATCTCCCCCCACCCCCCGCCCCTGCCCCTGTCACAGAGACGTCTGCAGCTCCCATGAAGGCTCGCAGAACCCAGAGCACCCAGGAGAAGACTTGGGGCAGGGAAAAGGGCCAGAAACACTCACCGTGCCATGGCGGCTCCCCCTGCTGAGTGGCCTTTGGAGTCTCAGGCAGGGGCCTCTATCTTTAGATCCTGGACGTCCCGGCAGCTGCCTCTCCTTATATGGTCTACAGAAGGGTTGAGGAGAAAGGAAAATGTCGCTCCACAGCCAAAGGATCTGCACTGCGGAGATAATCTGAGAATTTAATCCCTGCAGTACTTCACCTTTCCCGGTCTCCAGAAATGTACAGATTGGGACCAGGGCAAGGGCTACCGTAGACACAGTATGACACAGGGAAGGTCTTGTTTCACTTGTTTCTCCAAAGCTTAGTACTCAGTGCCTGATTCACAATAAACGCTCAATGAAAAATCATTAGTCTCGGGCAGCGCCTGTGGCTCAGTGCGTAGGGCGCTGGCCCCATATACCGAGGGTGGCGAGTTCGAACCTGGCCCCGACCAAACTGCAACAAAAAAATAGCCAGACGTTGTGGGGGCACGTGTAGTCCTAGCCACTCCGGAGGCTGAGGCAAAAGAATCGCCTAAGCCCAGGAGTTGAAGGCTGCTGTGAGCTGTGACTCCACAGCACTCTACTGAAGGAGACAAAGTGACACTCTGTCTCTAAAAAAAAAAAAAAAAAGAAAAGAAAAGAAAAAATTATTAGTCTCAATTAAATCCCCAGGGAAGATCCGCCCCCAAGGATGTAGGCACTGCAAGCCCCGCCTTCCCACAGCTCCTTCAGAGGTCGCGGCCAGCGCGCCGTTGCCATGGCAGCGAGGGGCGCGGCTAACGTGCAGTGGTGTTTCCGGGAAGATGGCGGCTGTTGAAGCAGCTGCGGAGTCGGTAACGGCGGTGGCGACCGTTGGGCCAAGGGCAAAGGTGGAAGAGGAGGAAGAAGAGGAGACGCCGCCACCGTGCGAGGCGGTGCGCTGGGCCCCGGTGGGGGCGGTGGCAGAGGCCGGGCCTGGGGCGGCTGCGTTTGTGGAAGAGGCGGCGGCCGATGAGCCCGGCACGGCCCCAGGTTCTCCGCCTGACTCGCCTGGCCGGACGCTGCGGCGGCTGCGGGCCGAGCGGCGGCGGCTGGACTCAGCATTGCTCGCGCTGTCCTCGCACTTCGCGCAGGTGCAGTTTCGCCTGCGCCAGGTGGTGCGGGGGGCGCCGGCGGAGCAGCAGCGCCTCCTGCGCGAACTCGAAGACTTCGCCTTCCGTGGCTGTCCTCACGTCCTGGGTTATGAGGGGCCTGGAAACTACGCCAGCGACGAGGGCGACAGGCTGCCAGGGGACCGGCCATGGTTGCGGAGCGAGGACCAGGTGAGACTGGGGCAAGACCGAGAGGGATTTGGAAATAAGGGAATCGTGTGGATGGTGATGCAAACTCAGATGTTGGTAGAAGGGGTGAGACGCCCACCCGACTGGATGAGTGCGTCCGTTGGAGACTAGGAGACTGGAAGCAGGAGTGCGGGGCATGCTGAAGGTCAAGAGAACAGAGGGCTGGGCACCTGAGGGTGTGCGGTGTGCACTCAAAGTGTGGAAAGAGATGCCAGTGCGATGACGTGAGGAGCGGCGGATCAGTGAACTAAGAGAGAGGGCAACAGCAACGGAAGCAGCGCTACTCCTGCCTCCTTGTCCACCCATTATAAGTACCTAAGTTCTGAACACTTTCGCTGATAGAGTACCTTGATCCTGGGGGTTGGGAAAGTTGGCAAGTGAAAGGAAAGCAAGTTGGAAATAGAGAAATTTGTATTAACTACCTAACCCTGCTTTCTGGGAATCTAGGCAAAGTCTTTAATCTTTAGACTCTTTTCTGGGTGAGAAGTTTGGTGAACAGCAGAGTCTGTTGGTAATTGAAAAAAATACACTCTCGATTATATGAATTTCCTAATGATTGAATTTTTAGACCCATTCACCCATCCTCCTTAATTTTTAGACCCATCCCCCCTCATTCTGAATGAGGTCCTCTGGTAGCCATCACAAAATGGATTCAGTTTGCCTACACTGAGAGGTAGGGAATATACCACACTAAGGAAACCTTTCCTTACAGGCTTTGAATCTCTGGAAGTACACAGATGTAGATAACCTTGTTGGAGGTCTTAAGACGTGCTGCCTTTTTGCCTTTTTGTTCTTTAAGGTACAACCCATATGTGGCTTTCTTCCCACTTAAATTGGTTTTAGCCAATATATCAGTAGCAGATGTTGATTTGTTTATTTTAATCTGAACTGTTCCCACAGCTGATGGCGGTAGCTCAGTGGTTAGGGCACTGGCCTCATACACTGGGACTGGCGGGTTCAAACCTGGCCCC